GATAGTCGCAGGATAATATAGCAAGTTTTTGTGAGAGAAAGTTGAAAAAACGGGTTAATGCGCCTTCACAGGAAGAGGAAGGAATGTAAATACTAACAAATATGATGCCTTTAAAATTACTTAACAAACGGGTCTTACATAGAACAGCGATTACATCTATCAAATCATCAGAGTAAGAAAAAAGGGACTTACAGTCTCTACACCAATTTTGATTAACGAAAATGGCAACGCCTCCACCTCTGCCGCAAGATAAAGCTTTTCTATGTGTTCCAAAGCAGTAGAAGGATGGGGGAGTAATAATTTGCGAATCAATGTCACTATTTAGCCACGTCTCTTGAAGGCAGACAACTTCAGTTCTGATGTGTTCTTTTTTCGACAAAAATAGCTCCAAATCATGGGCTCTGTTGAAAATAGAACGACAATTTGTGGACAAGAAGGCAGGAATTGACAATTTGTGATTTGGCTGACGTTTGAATGCTAATTGCCAGCCACACCGGTGTTTTCTCCGATGTATAGGCCGTTGTTGACGAATTTTTTAAAAATTCAACACAGAACGATCGCAAATACGACTGTGCGGTCATTCGGACCGGACCTGTCCAAAGGAAGTGACGACATTTCAGCCGTTCCGCTGGTGAGTAGTCCGGTTGAAAAAAACACCTGGGTTGGAGCCTTTAATTCTGAATCGCCTGGAGAGAATGAGACTGGCTTGGTCGCTGCTGGCCAGCACAACTTTAAGAGGTCGGGGAGGAATCGACACTGATGGATTATCTGCTCGTTTTCCAAGGCGGAGGGCTTTAATCACTTCAATAGCCTTAGTGGGTTCCAAAATATCATTGAGAAGACCTTGGAAGAGTAATAAGTCTTCCGAAATCTGCTCCTTGGGAGTATTTGCACTTTATTCAGGGAGCCCCTTAATGATAAGACATTTTTCCCTGTCGATTGCTTTTTTATTTTCTACGGAAGTGTGGTTCCCTAACGGAAGCAACGCTCTGGGACTATGCATTGGTGATGGTGGAGCGGACGCGCTTACGCCGTCTGTTTGTTTGAGTGCTATGTTGACAACCTTGGAAGAAGCGCTTGGCAGAGAAGACTGTGAATAGAACTCTGTGGCTCTGATGGATGAATCGATTCCACCGCTCGTACTAGGTCTATGAGGCTCGGACTGTTTCGGACCGATCGCACCTCATAGGACAACAAGCCCGTGGCTTTGGGCTTCTAACCCACAGGCCGCGGTTCGTGCCTCAGGGGTTGCAAAACCTGGGGTTAGGTATAGCTGACTGATGACGTCTAATGAGCACAAAACAATCGTTGCAATCTCCTTTGCCTTTGTCGGCAACTGTATCCTGCATGTATACATGGATCTAAGAAGAAAGGGCGATCTCAGGAACTATAGCTCATTGTCCGAACATTTCAAAATACTACAAGCTTCCGTCGTACCAAGTCTGAGAATACTTATACGGGGGTGGGGGGGGGGTGCTAGCCATGTTAACACGAGGTTTGATACACGGGTTTATCTTTACAGTGTCACTGGGGCGTCATTAATTGGCTTTTCTGCGCATCGCCGGCATACTCACGGGGGGTAATTTTTGTAGTCGCAGGGACGGAGGGGGAGAGAGGGTGACTACTGTCAGTCCCCATGTCATTTATTGGGGACGGCGTTTGAACGTTGGCGGCCATCAAACGCATCCGCACTGACCTTATTTGACCCCTTGGGTTGTTAGTCTTGTTTGTGCCCCCCGCCTGTGTTTACCCTCCTTTGTCGGAGTACTGGTTTATGCAGCAGTGTAGTATCCGAACGCACAGGGCACTGTGGTAATATGGATACTTCCGGCTTAACACCTGTGCTCAAAAGGTTCGTCACCGTGTAGCTTGATCTTGCTAGAATTTTCGTTAGCCATCACAACGATCTAACAATGAATAATCCAATTAAAGTTGGGAGTATAACAGTTGTTTATTGTAACAGCTAGAAATATGATTGTAATATGAATAGATTCAAACTGTCACACAGCTTCCAGGGATTCAGTGCGGAAGTTCGGGGGGGGGGAGGTGGAGAGGATAGATCCGTTCTGTATATGCACTAAAGAGAACAAGAGACCACACGTCCGTACGCTTCTGACTTCCGTTTCCATCTCTTTGTTCCCGCTTATTTAAACAAACTGGTTACGGTTCGGTTCAGTCGCTGCAACTGCCCCCCACCTCATTCAGGTGGAGCCCTGTCCTCAGGATGCGTAAGTATGGTGTTGGGTTGGACAGGTACAGCAATAGGGGAAGAGATGGCTTTTCGGTTTCCCGATGCTAGGCACACCTTTTGAAAATGCCCTTCCTTACCACACCCTTTGTATAACGCATCGCGTTCGGGACATATCGAACGGCGGTGCTTTTCGTATTCACAAAAGAAACATTTGCTGTGAAGTAGAAGCCACTAGGCCAGGATCTTTAACGGGACTCGACGAAGTTTCACATGGCTCGTCGGAGGATTCTGATACGATAGAGACTGTCTTTCTGTCAATTCCGGTGACCTTTCCTGATCAAAGGCAGTTTAGAAGTTCAAAGTTTTCGGCTCCAATAACCTCAGCCGAATCTTGTTTGAGGATAGGCCACTGATAAACGCAGCTCTAATGGCATCGTCGCGATTTTGTTCTGCCGTAACGGCTTTAAAATCACAGTCCTTAGCCAAGGATTTTAGCTTTTGAGCAAACTGGTCAAGGGTTTGTCACTATAAAAGGGCTTTATTCATCTTACAGTTGACGTACTGGGACTAAAACGAGAAATAGAAAAGTAGTTGATAAGACGGAATTTAGCCAGGGTCTTATATTAGCATGACACCCTGTCCTCAGGACGTGTAAGCATGGTGTTGGGTTGGGCAGTGATTGCGATTTCGTTTGTGGGTCGGGGTACCAGGTGTGGTGGTAATATGGGTCAGTTGTCTAGTGTAGCCGTGGGAGGCCGTCCTCTGGACGGTTTTAGTTTGTCGTAATGTACGGTAAAGATGGGCCCTTCTGGGGTTTGTAGATCATGGATTATATAGGTGGTTGGGAGCCTGATGTCAGTTAGAATGAACGGTCCCTCCCAAGGATAGACACATTTCGCTGGTATACCGACGGGGGAGGAACTGTTCGATATCGTAGGACTAGGTCGCCATGTTGAAAGGGTTGCCCGTGAATGTCGGTCGAAGCAGTCTTTTTATCGGTCATATGCTATACGTAAGTGTGAACGTGCTAAGTTATGAGTGGGTCGTGTGGCGGTCAAGGATGTGAGATCAACCTAAACCACGCACAATAAGTTCGTTTCGTCTAATGTCAGAAGTCAGGGAGCTGTGAGGACTAGTTTATTCTGTATTGCCTGTTGGTTCCTCATTAGATTCAGACTCTTGTTGATTTTTGCCACCGGTGTTTTCATGGGGTCAGAGTCAATGGCATTGTATGACTGGTTACCGTTGAGTAGCTCCTGAGCTTTCGCTACGTACTCTGACTTGTCCAAGATCACGGTTGCCCGTAATGTGTCCGCTGGGTCAATCACAATTTCTTCGTCCCTCCTTAATTCCTTAATGGTCTTTACCTCGGCTGAGGAGATGGTTCGACGTGGCCTGTGGGATATGATGAGAGATGCGACTCGTCGGCGATTCCAGTCCTTGGAGTCTTCTGTGGCCTTCGACTTTGAGTATCGCTTCAAGTGCAGCGATAAAATCCACTGGGTGTGCGTCCCCTGTGTTGTAGCCTGATTCGTTCTGAAGCAATATAATCTGGTCGTTTGTCAGCTGTTTAAATGCCAGGTTATGGACGGAGGATGGCTCATGTAGTGTGGCTTGTGCTTGCTTTAGACTACTCCTTTTGTTCAGGAGTTGGGCCCTCGGCTTCTCTCGCTCGCTGCTCACCTTACTCGAGATCCAGCTCTGCGAGTTTCTCAAAGGTTCCATCTGCAGGTATGATGCACACGCACACGCCAGATGAATAAATCATCCTCCCCAGGGACCTCTTTACCTTCTTCCATCTCAACACCTGGGGTCGGCATTTTCGCCTATATATATATATATGAGAAGAAAAGGCGATCTCGGGAACCATAGTTTTACTGTCCTGACGTTTCAAAAGCATACAAGCTTCCATCGTCGGAGGTGAGTGTGGTATCGTGCCTCACAGTATTTATAAGTGGGTGACAGTCATGTCAAGACGGTTTTTTTCTTACATACGAAGTCAGGGCGGCAGGGAGGAAGGGGCGGGCAGGGAGTCCTAGAGCGTCTTTTCGCCGTATGAGGGGGTGGTGGATCAGCTGTAGTGGTCACCAGCCGCATGCTCACATGAACTGTGGCGGGCGGGGAGGAGGGTGGGTGGGTGACGGAGTGTACTCAATCTACATCGGGGGCAGGCGTTGAGACGTTGGTGGTCGTCGCCCGTACCTTCATTGACCGTAGCTGTCGTCCAAGTCCGGCAATCTTGTTTACGCCGCAACGACTGTCCGTTTTCTCGTCCACCGGACTAGTAGATGGACCGGCTGTGGTGAGGACTGCGCCTTCGTCTGAACCCGGTTGAGGGGTGGCTGAGTGTGTATCCGCCATGTCTGGATTCCTGCTTAGCCTGGGTGCACGTCTGCTCATTTGTTTACTGAGCTGCGCCCGAAGGGCTTGGTAGGCAGCGGGAAGAGCCACACAACGTTTGATGGGGGTTGCCCCGTGTGTCAAGCTTCGATTGTTTCCCTGGCTATGCGGTCGTTTCCCGTTTGTGGCACAACCGGGTGCTTACTGTGGTAGCTCAGGATTTGGCGTGTATTAGTGGCCTTCCTATATACCGTCGTTTTTAAGTGCCCATTTGGTTTTCAATGGACGAGAACATCAAGGAACGGCAGTTGGTTGTTGGCTTCCGCGTCCATTTTGAACTGGATGTCAGGGAAAACAGAGTTCAGGACGTCATGAAATTCCTGGACCTTTTGCCGCTTAATGATAACGAAGGTATCATCGACATATCGAGTCCAAAATTTCGGCTTATAGGCTGCGAAAACCAGGGTCTCTACTTTTTGGAGAACTGCTCTGCGATGAAGCCCGAGAGCGATGATCCCATTGGCGTCCCCTTGACCTGCTCGTAGGTCGTACCTTCGAGGGTAAAGTACGTCTTCAGGCAGAATCTCAGCAATTGGACTAGATGTTTCCGTTTTATCGTCACGCTCGTCTCGTCGTACTGACTCTCGAGCAGCTCGCTGACCGTTTCGACTGCCAGGTCTTGCGGAATCGAAGTGAAAAGAGAAGTGACGTCGAATGACACCACGACCTCGTCTTCGGTAAGTCTCATCCCTTTGATCCGCTGCAGGAACTGAGTCGCTGAACAGACCGTCGTGCTCGCGTTCGATGTGAGAGACCTCAGGTTTCGGAACATCCATTTAGCCAAATTGAATGTAGGTGCGCCGCTCAATGACACGATTAGCCGGAGTGGGAGCCGGACTTTGTGTGCCTTTGGCAGTCCATAAAAGCTTGCTGCGGCGGCCTCTACTGGCTTAATGACCAGTCGTACCGATTTATTTATGGCCTTGCTAGTTTGCATGTCGGCGAGGGTCTTGTCCAGTTGCGTCACCAGCTTCCTCATTGGTTCATCGTTACATGGTAGGTACGCCTGTCGGTCCTCCAGTAGGGCATTGGCTTTCTGAATGTAGTCTGCCTTATCCATCACAACTGTGGAGCGCCCTTTGTCTGCTGGTAGAATCACGATGCTGGTGTCAGCCCTCAGTGTCTTGAGAGCACTCTGCTCGGCCTTGGTAATGGTTGCACGTGGTTTGTGCGCCATCGCCAAGGAGGTTACCTGCTGTCGAATGAGCTGCTTTGTTTCGTCGGATTCCCCGTTTTGTTTGAGAATCGACTCAACCGTGGCCACGAGATTGACCGGATCGGCGTCTGTGGTGTTGAAGCAGGCCTCATGACTCAGCGCTTTCATTTGTGCAGGGGTCAGTTGCTTAGAGGACATGTTGTGCACCAGGACTTCGTTCTCCTCTGGAGATGATTGGCTTATACTTTGGAGCTTGACCGCCAGCTCGGCATCTCTTGTTGCTCGCAGGTTCCTGGCGAGAAGACGCTCTAGGACTCCCTGCCCGCCCCTTCCCCCCTGCCGTCCTGACTTCGAATGTAAGAAAAAAAAACGTCTTCACATGACTGTTACCCACCTATAAATACTGTGAGGCACGATACCACACTCCCCTCCGACGATGGAAGCTTGTATGCTTTTGAAATGTCAGGACAGTAAAACTATGGTTCCCGAGATCGCCTTTTCTTCTCATTTATGTCCGGGGACGCGCATCTTCGCTTCTATTAGCCGCGGCAAAAAACCACAAGCACACCTACTGAACAAACTCGGTTGTAGTGAAAATCCGATTCCCAGGTGGCATATCAAAAGAAGAGGGGGCGTTCACCGGGAGGGGTTTATTTGAGATCCGACGTTTCGGGTAGTTTATCCGTCTACCCATCTTCAGGAACTGGGAGGTCCTGTGCACAGCACTCCTTATTATGGCGCCCTTTGTCCAATGCGTGATCCGCCAATGCCGCCTGTGTGGCTGCATCCAACCCGCATGTCACCGTGACCTAAATTGCCCCCGTCAGCCGCGGTGATGACTGACACATCTTCAACTTTGACGCCGTTGAGATTGTGGGCCGGGGCAGCGATCACACAGCAAGGCAAGTGCAAGAAGCCTGGATGTCCACCGACCGCTCTGTCAACCGCCACATCAATTTGCCTCCCCCCTATCTGACTTTACGAACCTTCTTAGCGGGGGACAGTCACGGCGCGGGACAATCGGGGCCGTCAGTCATCACCGCGGCCGACGGGGGCGATTCAGGTCACGGTGACATGCGGGTTGGATGCAGCCACACAGGCGGCATTGGCGGATCACGCATTGGACAAAGGGCGCCATAATAAGGAGTGCTGTGCACAGGACCTCCCAGTCCCTGAAGATGGGTAGACGGATAAACTACCCGAAACGTCGGATCTCAAATAAACCCCTCCCGGTGAACGCCCCCTCTTCTTTTGAAACTCGGAAGGGTTGAGGGGGAGGGGTTCCCCATCTACCGTTACCTAGCATTTATGTCCGCTACACAATGCCCCCCTTTTATACCCTTACACACCCATACCTCTCCGTTCCTAAACCACGTCCGGGTAGTTCGCATGTGCGGCAATTGCTCTGTTAACTGCTGGGTTGAGGATTTCGTGGTTTAGGCCGGCTTCCTGTCATCATCATTCGGTTGCATTAAATTACCGCGCATACTATTGTACAAGTCTGTCTTTCCACCTCCGTCGTCGTCTCCGGCACTTGCATCTCCCAGCAGGCTTGGTCGAGCCTGAAACGCCCACCAGTTTCAGGTTACGGTCAGCTTACCTCCATCCCACGCATTCCACAGTTCACCTTACGGAGGCGCCAGCTTTCCCCCTTTCGTCCGTCAGACTATAACTTCCGGTGGCAGTTTACTAGCGCTTCAGGCCCGGCATCCACTTCCGGGCGTATACATCATTACTAAACACTCCCTCACCATCTTCAGCACCAACCACCCCCCCTAAACCCAACGGCTTATAACCTACGTCGTCCACACATACGCCTTCCACTTGGGGCAGCCGCTACCAAAGGCTTCAGGCTCTTAAACCACTGCGGTATTTACATAAACCCCTAACGCTTCGTCACCATCTAGCCCACCCCATCCCCCTCCCTCCCAAAGGCTTATCACCTATGCCGTCCCA